TTGTCTGAAAAGCCTGTATTAAGTAGTAGTCCCAAGACATATGTTATTATGTTTCTTTAATAATATATTTCTCAGTAGTTATTCATTCTCAAAATAGGTATCTTAGTAATTTGATGGGGCTCAAATTCTGAAAGAACCAAAATTATTTATCTTGAGTTTTTAGTGTGTAGAAAAAAAAGTAAAGAGCCCAGTTCAGTTTTAAAGTGAAAACAATGGTTTTTATACATTGCTTTAACTATTTTCTCTAATGTTCTATTTAATTTTTAAAATAATTTTAATTTTAATTTTGAATAGATAATATATCCGCATGGTTCAAAAATCAAAATAATATAAATACACATTGAGAAGGTTTGCTCTTACACTTGACCACCCTATTTCCCTTCTACCCACATCCCCTATGGGCAACTATGTTTATTAGTTTTTTGTTTATCTTTTCAAAGTTTCTTTGTGTAAATGTAAGCAAATATGAATATTCATATTCTTTCCTCTTCCTTACACAAAAAATAGCAAATCATGTACATTATTCCACGTCTTGATTTTTTTCCCTACTTTTCTAATATACCCTTGAGATCTTTCCATATCAGCATGTAGCATTTCCTCTTTATTTATGTTTTCAGAGCATAGTGTCCCAGTGTGTGGATGGAATCCTTTATTGATGGATACTGGGAATATTTCCAGTCTTTTTGTTATTATATACAGCACTGCAAACACGTAAATACACTCACATTCACACACACGCACATATGTATTTGTACTCTACCCTCCTAGATTCTCCAGCTGGGGCTTGTCTAGACAAAGGACAGATTAACAGGGAGAAAAACAAAACAAGTTTATTGCCTTGCGTTTACATGCAGGAGCACTCAGTAATGAGTAACTTAAGGTGGTAGTAGAACATGGGCTTATATAGCATCTTAATAAAAGAACAATAAATAGAGAAGTAACAAGACGAAAAGGACTTTGAGTTTCTGGGGTGGCAAATTTTGGGAAGGTAAATATGTGGGGGAACTTAGATAAGGGCTAGTTAGTGAAGTTTGTTATGTAGCTTCTGCTGGTGCTGTCTCTGAGCTGATAAGTCTAGAGTTGCCTCCAGTGATTAACTCTTGTCCTTCCTGGTAGAGAGGGAAGGTGGGACACTTCAACAAATTTATTTCCTGCTTTTAGGCACATAGGAGAGCAAAGAGCTTTTCTTTTTAGTGGCTTTCAGCTCAAAGCAGTCCTTATGCCAAAGTGGCATGTTTTGGGTTGGCATATTCTGCTGCCCTTTAGTACTTAGATGTATCTGCAGGGTATGGAATTGCTGGATCCAAAAGGTAATTGCATATGTTTTGTTAGGGTTTGCCACATTCTTTTGCATAAAGGTGGTTCTGTTTTGTACTTCCACTATCAACATACAAAAGTGCCTTTTCCCCCAACAGATTGTTATCAAACATATGGATTTTTATGAGATGAAAAATGTTATCTTGGTGTGTATTTATAAATACACTTTTTTAAATTAATAAACTTTCTAAGAACAGTTTAAAGTTCACAGCAAAATTGAGCAGAAAGTATAGAGTTCCCATACACTCTATACTACACGTATACAACCTCCCCCACTATCTGCAGCCTGTACCACAGTGGTACATTTATTACCATTAATGAACCTGTACTGACACATCATTGTCATCCAGAGTCCATAGTTTACATTAGCATTCACTCTGTGTTGTATATTCAATGGGTTTTGATGACTGCATAATGATACTTAGTATTGTACAGAATAGTAATAGTATCACACAGAATAGTTTCACTACCCTAAAAATCCCCTCTGCTCTGCCTGTTCATCCCTCCCTCCCTCTAACCCCAAGCAACCACTAATCTTTTTACTGTCTCCAAAGTTTTGCCTTTTCCAGAATGTCAGATGGTTGGATCATACATTTTGTAGCCTTTTCAGATTGGCTTCTTTCACTTAGTAATACACATTTTAGTTTCCTCCATGTGTTTTTGTGGCTTGAGAGCTCATTTCTTTTTAGCACTGAATAATATTCGATATACCACAGTTTATCCATTCACTTACTGAAGGACATTTTGATTGCTTCCAAGTTTTGGCAGTTATGAATAAAGATGCTATAAACATCTGTGTGCACGTTTTTCTGTGGACATAAGTTTTCAACTCCTTTGAGTAAATACGAAAGAGCACAATTCCTGGATCTTATAATGGTATGGTTGGTTTTGTAAGAAACTACCAAACTGTCTTCCAAAGTATCTGTATCATTTTGCATGCCCATTAGCAACGAATGAGAGTTATTGTTGCTCTGTATCCTTACCAGTGTTTGGTATTGTCAGTTTTTTGGGTTTTGGCCTTTTTTTTTTTTTTTGGGTACTTTAGGTACTTTTTTATTGAAAAAAATATGGACCGCTTCACGAATTTGCATGTCATCCTTGCACAGGGGCCATGCTAATCTTCTCTGTATCGTTCCAATTTTAGTATATGTGCTGCCGAAGCGAGCCATTTTAATAGGTTTATAGTGGTATCTCATTTAAATTTGCAGTTCCCTGTTGATATATGATGTACAGCATGCCTTCATATGGTTATTTGCCATCTTTATGTCTTCTTGGTGTGGTGTCGGCTCACGTCTTTTGCACTGTTTTTTTAATTGGGTTTATTTTCTTATTGTTGAGTTTTAAGAGGGTGGTTTGTTTTTTTTGTTTTTTTTTGTTTTGGATAACAGTCCTTTATTAGATGTGTCTTTCGCACATATTTTCTCCCAGTCAGTGCCTTGTCTTCTCATTCCTTTGATAAACTTTTATAATTAAGTATGCAAAATAAGTGTATGGCTTTATGAATTTTCTAAGTGAACGTATTATTGGCTTCTCAGTGTAGTTTGAATTTTCATTTCTCTCATCAGTGAAGTTGAACATCTTTTCATAGGATTAAGGGCCATTTCTGTTTCTTCTTTGTGTGAACTATCAATTCACATCTTTTGCCATTTTTCATTTAATTACTGCTCTCCCCCACCCCCGCCCCAGTTAGTCTTTAAATATTAAGGAGGTTATTTCTTTATTTGACATGAATAACATTTTTCCTGTTTTTTTTTAATCAGTCTTTTCACTTTGCTTTTAGTTTATTCTGCTGTATTTGAAGAAATGATTTGAATTTTCTCTCATGGGTACAGGGAATCTCTTCCTCTTTCCTTACTTACACAGCTTAGTGTCACTGTCTTCCAGAATTCTTCTTAGTATCTTTCAGGGCTTTAAAAAGTATCTCATGTTGCCCTGGTACCTTTTGTATGTCTTTACCTTTGCGTTTAATAGCAATCCTTATCTTGCTTGTTTTTCTATAGACTGTAAACTCGTTGAGGACTAGAACTCTGTTTTATTTACCTTTATGTGTCTAGTGCTTGGAGCACACATGGTATACAATAAATATTAGTGTTTGGTATGCATGATTGTTTCTTTGTTGCTTGGATTTTTGGTGCCTTTGATTTTACAGCCATTGCTATCTAATTTAAGTACTCTTCATATATTATTGTTGAACCAACCAGTCTTATTCATCCTTCTTGTCATCCTTTCATTTCTGCTCTTTACTACATTTCCTTTGAGGATAGTTTTGGAGAGATACCGACTCATTTCAGGGGCCTCTGTGAAAGATTAACAGATCTTTTGTGCATTTTACTTCTTCATAATTAAGATTTATGGGATGCTTTGATGTAAATAAATGATGCCATACTTTTAAGTCCTTTTTCTTTTTTTTTTCCGTGGGGGGAGGCAATGTGTTATATATGTTTTGTTTTTATATGTTTCTACAATATAATTTTATAAGAACATATATACAAAATATACACAAAAAGTGAGAGATTAGTATAGTGAACGTCCATGTACTATTCATCAACTTTACGAGTTATTAACTTGTAGTACTTTAAGGTAAGTACTTAAAATAACATATCCTTAGAGTTACACAGATTCCTGAAGGCTGTCTAAGGGCTGACCTCCCACCCCAAAATGCAGAATAAGTAACCCAGATACAATTTGAATTTCTCTGTACATAGGGATTCAAACTTCTTTCATGTAATCTGCTTTATTATTGAACAGCTGCATTTGTACATTGATCTAAAATGTGCTTCTGAAGAAACCCTGATTCAGTTTTAACAGCTCTGCAACAAGAGACTTTCAGTTAGTGAAGACATAGCTTTCTTATTAGGCTAAAGAAGGTTAATTTTTTAAAAAAAAGTTTAATTTTAAATGAAGTCTTAAAAAAAACTTGTAGTGTACTAGTAAAAAAAACTGATAGACAATGCACATCTTAAAGAGACTAAGGAAGCAATTTCACTTTCTTTACTGATTTGTCAGTGGCTACTGACAGTCTTATGAAGGGCCAATATTTTAAATTAATTTCTGGTTAAAAGCTTGGAGATGTTTTAATCACATGTGGAATTTTTATGTCTTTGATGTTAAAAGTAGCAGCCCATAAACTGATATCTATTTGTTATGGTCACATTGCCTTTCAGTTCTCTCCTCAGTGTATCTAGTAGATGCTTTATTTATGAGATCTGTAAATAATTTGTTTCCTGTCAGAAATTGCTAATTCAGATTATTTCCTTAATTTCAGGATCACTCCATAGTAGTATCCATTTGGTAATGTATATGTCAGTTACGATTTTATTGTTAAAAAACAGCCGAGTTATTTAAATGGTTCCCTTTCAGCTGGACTCCTTTCTTTTATTGGTAATGGCTTTGAATGAAGAGCACTTTTCAGAGAGAATCTTTATAAACCCTTAATTTCTTTACCCAAATGTTAAAGTTACTTAGTATTCTGAGTTGATTATGCCCTATGACATATCTCTGTATTTACCACAGCGAGAATTTTGTATGGAACATATTTGTTAAGTTTTTGAGAATAACTGAAGTTATACTTAGTCTGTATTTCAGCATTTCCTTAGCTTTTTCGTACAAGATGAAGACTATTGTTTTATTCTTGTTGGGAGTTTAAAACTAGAATGTAATGTCTCTCTTCTTGATTTCTGTAGAGCAGGTTGTTGCGCTGGATGCTCAAAATATCGTTGCTGTTTCATGTGGAGAAGCTCATACATTAGCACTAAACGACAAGGGCCAGGTGTATGCTTGGGGTCTCGATTCTGATGGACAACTTGGCCTGCTAGGATCAGAGGAATGTATCAGAGTACCCAGGTAACAAAGGTGACCGACAAGAGGTCTTTAACAGTCTTTTATAATAAATTTGCTATCTAAGTTATTCTGCTTACTACTGGGCATTTAAGAGTTGACACCGAATTACTTCTACCCTTTGAGTTCTTAAGGCATTTTACTAGGTAGATTCTTGCCTTTAATTTGGATTGAGTGCTGTTTTTTATATACTCCGTATTTCCCCAAATTATTTATGTTTGTAAAGAAAAGGGGTAGGGAATGCATACTTTATTATAAATTTTCTCTCACTAATAATTTTAAATGGGTTAAGACTAATTTAAACCATTAATTATACTATCTTGAGTACCTCAGCCATTGAAATATTTATTATATATTGGTTGTTTGCATGTTTCTTTCTCTTTTTTAGTCTTTATTGTTTTTATTGAATATAGAAGTCCCACATGCTTAAAGTGTAGAAAGAATAAGTCACTTTCTACGTTTTTACATAGCAGTGACCACAACTTAATTTATGCTAACCACTAATTCATCATAGAATTATTTCAAAATTTAAAAATAAGCAATGCTTCATCAATGTTGTAGCCTTACAGGTTTATATAGGACATAACCATTGCTGTAATATTAAAAACTGTCAGCATGAACATAAAGATTTAAAGAAGAGTATCCAGTTCTTTTAGACATATAATTAATACACTAATTCATGCTTAGTGTTTAAAATTATACAAATTCTTGCCTCCTTAAACTCTTGTTTTTTTGTTTTCTTTTTTCCCCCTAGTAATAGTTATAGGGACAAAAGAGAACTCTCCAGGGAACCAAGGTATTACACCAATTTTAGATATATTTCAGGTAGCATTTTTGTAATATACACATATAGATATTTTGTTTTTAATTTAACATTGATAATGTTTGTTTTGGTTTAAGAGGTAGATGTAACTACTAGGATAAGAAAATGGAGCACAGGAACTAATATATTTCAGAAGAGGAGGGAATTCCCTGGTGGTCCAGTGGTTAAGACTCCACGCTTTCACTGCTGCGGGCTTGGGTTCACTCCCTGGTCGGGTAACTAAGATCCCACAAGCTGTGCAGTGCAAAAAAAAAACAAAACAAAAAAACAGAACAGGAGCTCTTATCGTTAGAAATGAGTTTTTTAAATAAAAGCCCATAACCTTCCTTCATATATATGTATGTCTATTTAAAAACTTAAAGTATACATTTGAAGCATTTGCTTTGTTTTAGCGTAGTAAAAGTGTTTTTCATCTTTAGTTTGACATTTTATGTTTGTTCTAGTAATGAACTGTCTGTTGAGACTTCTGGATACACACATTAACATGTTTTGTTTATCGAACTTGTAACCAAATTCCACAAAACTCCCCAAACAAATTTCTTCCCCTTTGTTTCTTCTGCAGTAGCAATTAAATAACACACTTCCCATTATGCTTTTAGTGCCTTTTAATGATGGTGCTGTTGGGAGAGACATTTTTTTCTTTAAGCTAAGTAAATTGAATTTTTTTAGTCATTTCAGTTTTGATTTCTTTTAGAAAATGTTAATTTGCAGCCAAATGGCTGTTGGCTACAAAATACAAAGCATTCAGAGGAACAGAGTGATCTCACATTTGTCATATTGTCTACTGATTTTATTTCCTTCCACAAGTAATTGTTGTAGAATGGGATTTTTTATTTAAGGTTTTTAAGAACTTTGTGTTTTCAGGATTGAAGAGAGACATGTTAGATTTTCTAAGTCAGTATTTTCAAAACCATGATTCACAGCAAGGCTGTCTAGTTTCTCTTATTTTTACTCCACTTAATTCTCATACTTACTTTTTATTTTTTATTTTTTTTGCTGTTCAGTTCTGATATAAGAGATCTCAGTCAGTAATCCATAGATGATTAGTAAATGGAGAGAAAGGTAATTATAAGGAGAAGAGTTTATTATATAACGATTTATTTGAAGGTTGCCCAATAATTCTGTATCTGTGACTTTACTCTTTATGAACCTGGATAGGGACCTGTAAGATCTTGAGTCCTTTGGTTTAAACTTCTCTGTTTGTGTATTTGCTGAACATCTATATTAATTTTCAGCTGTGTATTAAGGCATCTTTCCTGTTCAGTCTTTTCAGTTTTTCATGGACTAATCTGATTTGTTGTGACGTATATATATAATTTTTACTGATACTTTCATGTCTTAAAGGGCAATTTAGTATTTCAGTAGAAATGTATTTTTATGAAAGACCACCATTGATTTTTTTTTTTTCTTTTTAAATCTCAGCACCAAATCATTTTTTAGATGCAAGGCTTTTTCTAGGTGCTTAGAGATGTCAGCCAGCTTTGTAACTTTCACATACACTTTGAATAAAATGTGTAGAATATAGGAGGAAACTCAGACATATGTGAATAGGTTTTTAAAAATTAGTGTTTATAATTTTCATAAGAATGATCAGAAAAGTGAATATTCACATTAGGCTGTATTTTCTTGAGAACAAAACCCATTTTTATGTTAATAGATGAGAGTATGTAAATTAAGCAACACTTTAATTTTAAAGATGAATGTAAAATTAATAATAAATTATATTTGAAACTCTTTGGTAATCTTTTCCTACTTCTGATTTTGTTTTGTTTTGAAATCATTATTTCTTGGGGAAAGACAAATTATTCAATATCAGTGGTCTCTGTGGACCTGCATTTCTGGCTAGTCATTTCTTTTTATATGTAGGATATATGTTACACCTTTATTTTAAAAAAAGTTAATCTGATTTTACTGTCTTTTAATGTAAATAGAAAAACAATTGTTGGCAATGAGGTTGTAGTTTATTTTTTAAAGTTCTGTTTTTTTTGGACTTTGTAAGAAAAAATTATGACAGGATGGTATAATATGATGATTCTTGTGAGAACAGCAAGTTCTGGGCTACAGGAACTAATTAAACATGTTTGAATTGTCGCCTTGGTCAAAAATAAAATTTATTTTCTTGATTGAACTTTTAAAAGTATATTACAGGGAATTCCCTGACGGTCCAGTGGTTAGGAGTTGGTGCTTTCACTACCATGGCCCGGGTTTGATCCTGGTCAGGGAACTAAGATCCTGCAAGCTATGGGGCACTGCTCGCCCCCCCCCCCCAAAAAAAAAGAAGTTTATTACAGTTTCTGCCTAATATTAGCATCTGAAAGTACAGAACATTTCAGATTAAAAAGAAAATTAAAAAAAATTAGAAGAGTTTTTAATGGTAGAGACTAGATCAGTTGTTAGCCTAAATTTTTCAAAATCAAAGAGTTGGTGCTAAGACTTTTCTCAAATCAGTAAGAAAGTTGTGGTGTAATTGAAAAATAGAAAATTGTTGATTATGTTTTACTGGCAAAATATATTTTTAAAACCACTTTATTGAGGTATGATTGGCATACAAAAAGCTGTACTTAATGTATACACCTTGATGAGTTTGGAATTGGCAAAATATTTAATGCTTTAGTTCTTCAACTTCTTGATTATATATAATATAAACTTTTCACTAGTCCTTGTTAACAGTTGTTAAAGAATTTTACCTTAACATACAATTGGAAATGCCTGGTTTTTGCCTATATTGCCACTGTACATTAAGGTTGAAAAATGTAACAACACAACAGTACACATATTCAACAGTATATGTTTTGACTTCAAGACTTCCTAAGGGAGGGGTGTATAAATCTTATTTCCAAGTTTATTAACTGTTTTCTTACAAATTTCAAACGTTTCAAAATTCAGTAAAGAAATTATTCTTTTCTTTTTTTTTTTTTTCTGGTGAAGGAAAGTGTAGCATTTATTGCAAGGTGACAAGCAAGGAGAATGGGCAGCTAATGCTCAAAAGACCCAAACCTCCTACTGGTTTTTAGGGATGGGTTTTTAAAGACAAAGTGAGGATGAGGGTCATGGGGAATGTGATCATTTCATGCAATCTTCTGATTGGTGTGTGGTGAGGTAACCAGGTGAGGTCACAGAGATTGATCACGTTATCAGTCTTCAGGCTCCAGCCAGTCTGGGGGCTGCGTGCTCATGGTCATCATTCTCTGTCTGGTTGGGGTCTGGTTTCTGTAAAACAGCTTCTTCCAAGGAGCTGAAATCACTTGATTCCACACATTCAAAGGCAAATGGCAAATACACCAGGCCATTTCTACATCCAAAAAGTCATGGCAGTAATTTGCAGAAAAGTCATCCAGATCATTGCACGTTTTGATTGAGCCCATTATGTTGCTAACACTGTTCAAGCCTATTTCCTGACAGAAGAGGCCACATCACATCATATAGACCACATGAGGAGCAGCAAGTGTGGTCAGGAGGCAAAACAGGAGGGCGAAATTATTCTTTTCTTTACAAGGCATAATTTTAAATGTCATAGCCATTTAAAAATGTTTGACAAGAACTCTAAACTTTAGGGAGTTATTTTAAATTTATAAGCAGTTATAAAATGTTTCCCCTAGACATCTGAATTCTGATTTTCTTTTCATAGTTCTGATTAATTAGGAATCTTCATGTATGTGTGTATATATATTTTATTTACAAAATTTATTCTGGCTTATTTTACTTTCCTGTTAACTGCATTTGAATCCTTTTAAAAATTGAAAACCAGAAAACATTTACATTATCTTTTTTACTCATTGGGGATTATTTTTGATGAATTCTGTAAAATTTTGTTGCATTAAGAATTTTCTAATTTGTCTCTTTAGGAAAAATGGAATGTTGTAAAGCTGTTTTACTATTCACAAGTATTTTTGTTTCTTTTTAAAATTCCTGAAAGCTTAAAACAAAACAAAACAAGAAAGCATATCCTCTCCTCTTCCCCACCCCCCCACAATCTTCAGTGTATTCAATCTCCATAGAGATAAAAAGAGAGGTTTTTTTCCTTTAAAACAGTAATGCCACAGAAGAATATCTTAACTTGTCTCTGTAGCAGACATGGCTAAAGAAATTAGCGTTTATGTTGTATTCTAAGCTGTATGATAATATTTTGGTAATGAGAATCACTTTCTGTAAATTGCTGTGTAAATTTAGAAGTCTTTTGGAAGCAAATTTTATGAATAGTTTAATACTAAAGCCTCAAAGAAGTTGCAGATTTACTTATCCTCTAACATTGGATACTTCACATACTTTTTTTTTTCCCCATATTTTTTGCCAGGCACTATGGTAGGTCTAGGGATTCCATGGGTATAAGATAATAATAGTCCATCCTCACAGAGCTTATTGTTTAGCAGAGTATACTAATAGTAATAATTAAATGAATAAGTACACCAGTAATTAGTAGAGATAAATGCTGTGAAGGAAAAAAACATAGGGTGCTATGAGAATGTAGAATTTTAAAAGATTTTACTTAGTCATGCAAATTGGACTTGATATTTGGAGCAATTGGTTTTTAAAAATAGTACAGTTCACTAGTCAGTGTATGATATGCCTAATATGCATAAGCAGTAACAGTAAATGTTTAGTAACTTCAGCACAGTTGTATGTATCCGTGTATTTTTTTATTCCTGTTTTTGCATTGCCAGTGTTTGATTTTGCTAACTGCAAAAAAAAAAAAAATGACCTTTTGCTATATTTGAAAATCTGAAGGTACATTGGACCCTGTTAACTTGTTGGATTCTGCTAAATGTAGCAGTACAACTCTCAAGCTTTGCAGGACATAAATCCACTAAATAAAATTATTTTTAATACAACAATATGGAATTAGAGTAACTCTCTTTTTTCCCACTCAAAATTTGGTTTGCTGAAGCTGCCTCCCGAAAATCATGGGTATTGACACTCTGGTCAGAACTTGCTCTGGACTCTCATATGGCAGAATTAGGTCAGGTGGCAGTATCAGGTAAAGGGAAATAAGAAACATAATATATTTCCACACCCCCTTTTTTCTTAAAAACATTCAGGAAAAACAGAATGAGCAAGTGAAGGGGAGCTACATAAAGAAAACCTGGGATGGTTGATGCACATAGTTTCTTGATTTTTGTAATGTTTTAAATCCTTTAGAATTATGTTGCAGTTAAGGAAAAATCAGAAATCGGGGGAAAAAAGAAACTATAAAAAATATAAGTAAGAAATATGAGATGGCAGAAATATGACTGAACACATCACTGATCATAATACATATGAATTGATTAAATTTCTCTAGTAAATAATTTAATATCACTGATTTAGATGCAAAGCAAAAGGATAGTCCAAAAGGAATAGGTTTCATGATTTGTGAATTGGTAGCACCACATGATAGGAATCCTTGTTGGTTCTTAAGGAACCTGACAGAGGAGAACATATAATAAACTAGGCCAAACACCAATTTTCAACAAATTGGATCATGTACATTTGTTTTACAAATATATTGCCAAGTTTCATACTTTAAAGATTTTTCACATTTTGATGGTAATATCTGCATCATAAAAGCGCTCAGGGGCTTCCCTGGTGGCACAGTGGTTAAGAATCCACCTGCCAATGCAGGGGACATGGATTTGAGCCCTGGTCTGGGAAGATCCCACATGCCGCAGAACAACTAAGCCCATGCACTACAACTACTGAGCCTGCGCTCTAGAGCCCATGAGCCATAACTCCTGAGCCCACGTGCCACAACTACTGAAGTCTGCGTGCCTAAACCCCATGCTCCGCAACAATAGAAGCCACCACAACGAGAAGCCCGCACACTGCAATGAAGAATGGCCGCTGCTCGCAGCAACTAGAGAAAGCCCACATGTAGCAACGAAGACCCAGTGCAGCCAAGAATAAAATAAATCGATAAATTAATTAATTAATTAATTAAAAAAATAAAAAGAAAGCACTGAGCTGTGAACATAGTTTACTGTGCTTAAATATTGTCCTTTCAAAGTGTTTTCTCATCATATCTCTTAATTTTTTCATATTTAGATTTTGTTTACTGATTTTAGCATAAATTTTTGGTAAATTGGGCCTGTATGAGAAAAAATATCATGAACTGCTAGGTCATGCTAGTAAGGAACTGCTGGTAAGGAGACTACTTGCACATAGTAGGTGGTCAATAAATCGCATAAATAAATAGCATTCAGGATCCATTTATTAAATGGAATTAACTGATCCTGATCTCTCTTCTTACTTTCTAGAAATATTAAAAGTTTGTCGGATATCCAGATAGTACAGGTTGCTTGTGGCTACTATCATTCACTTGCACTTTCTAAAGGTAAGCATTGCTTTTATTTTCTTTCCCCTTTTCAGTTTTATTACTTGATACTTTGAGTTGAAATTCCTCCAACTTCGTTCTTATTAAAGATTGTCTTGGTTCTTCTTGATCCTTTTCATATCTGTATACATTTTAGAATTAGCTAGTCAGTTTTCACAGATACTTAAAGTGTTGGAATTTTGATTGGGATTGCATTACCTCTAAATCAGTTTGAGGAAAACCTTTATAATATTGAGTCTTTCAATTCTTGAGCATGCTATATCCCTCCATTTATTTTAATCTCTTTTTAATTTTTCTCAAGAGTATTTCGTCATTTTCTGTGGAGAGGTCTTATATACGTTTTATTAGATTTTTCCCTAGATATTTGATATTTTTTGTTACTCTGATGTCATTTTCAAATCGTTTATTACTAGCATATAGACATGAAATTGATTTTTTGTGTCTAATTGTTTCTTTAACCTGCCGAACATTATTCCTTCATAGCTGGGGAAGTTTATAACTTGCCCAAGTTCATTTACGCTTACAGGTAAACTTTTTATGAATAGAAACAGAGAAGTCTAAGCATCCTGTAACCTTTATTTGACTTCTTCCTATGCCAGCTAAGGATTGTAACATGGGTTAGTAAAGAACCTGCCGTATATTTGTTTTTTATTATATAAAAAAATAAGTTCCAGTGGCTTCATTATTATTATTTTTAATTTATTAAATGCCTAGTAAGGCCTACTATGAATGAAACAGTAGACTAGAACTATAGGGAAATACGGATAAGTTAAGAGAAGGTTTTAGGGATCGTACCATCTAGTAGAAGAGGCAGATATACAAATAATATAATTGAGGCAGAAAAAATATATACTACTTTTGGTCAAAGGAAAAGTAAAATATGATGGGCATAAGGAAAAAAGTTTAATTAGTTTCAATCAATAGAATTGGTAATAATAAAGAAGGGATTGATATTTGATGCAAGTCTTGAAAGATGATTACAATTTCTTCAGAATTGGAGAGGTTGTGAAGCAGCTAGGGAAAATGTTGAGGATTGGCTAAGGTAATAGTACTAGTAAAGGCGTAGAATCTGGGAAATATTTTGTGTATTTGAGTATCGGAATATAGTTTTACGTGGGTATTTTGAGAGCAGGAGACATTTTCATACTTCAGTTGAGAGTAAAGTAAAAACAAATCTGTTACAAAGGGCCTTACATGCCATATTAAGGAATTTGGATTTATTCCATCAAAGGAATAAAGTAGGGGGTGGAGGCTGGCATCCCTGTATTCTTTGTTGTTACTTTGCCAACTCCTCTTTTGATACTTTGGTAGGTAAATCCAAGATAAATTTAAACCCAAACGTTTTACCAATGAGGACAGTTTTTCTATCTTGACGTATCTTACAGGTATTCTTTTCCCTTATTCAGCTTCATGTTTTAGTAGTATCTTACGCATCTAATGGAAAAAAAAATTTTTTTTTTTTTGATCACTCAGTACAAACTAGGCACATTAGGGTGTACAGTAAACAGTGGTAAGCAGTACACTACCAGCCCTTATGGTACAGTCACACAAATAACAATATAGTTTACATACTATGAAAAAAGAGTATAAATAAAAAAGTTTGGGATATTTAGATCATATAACAAGGGGACTGAACTTAATCTGGCAGATCAAGGAAGGCTTTCTGCTGGGAGACAATAGAAGTAAACTAGACAAGGATGAGGGAAAGGTTTAGGCAGAGTGTGTGAGACAGCAAGTGTGTGAGAAATGGTCATTGGAGAATATAAAGGAAGGTGAGTATGGCTAGAGTATAGTAAGTGAGGGAAGAGGCTGGTATGAAATGAGCTCAGAAACATAGGTACATTTTACAGAATTATAAGCCTTGTTAAAAGTGTTTATCTCAAGAGCAGTGAGAAAGCACTGATTTCTGTTTTTTTCAGGTGAGCAGCATTTCAAATCTACATTTTTTTAAAGAGTCAACTCATTTGAGATTTATTATAGAATAAACACACAGACATAAATTTATAGAACAGTTAATTTGAAACTTATCCAGACCGTTATTAATGGTGTCAGTCCTATATCAGATCTACATTTTTATATCTCTTTGTATATATACAAATGTCTCCTGGTGTGTCCATAGAGTATTTCTGGAAGTACATATCAGCAGTTAGTAAGAGTGCTTGTTTCTTGGGGGAGGAACCAGGGATCTAGTTTTGAAGGGAGACTTACTTTTAGTAAGTGTGTACTATTTTATAGTATGAATTTTTAAAACTCAGATATTAGTGTGTCAATTATTAGTTTAGTGCCATTTATTTAATAAAAATAAGTAAAAATGTTTAAAGTTGCAAAAAATGTAGCAGTGGGTGAGCAAATGTGACGAGAACTATTAAAAGAACCAGGTGAAATGGTGAGGAGTGGATCTATTCACCATATTTTTCTTTAGAAAGAAAACTGTATATAACTTGACGATAGATTGATAAAAATCTGTATATAAGGTAAGAGAGGAGAGGAGTATTAAGGATGACTTCTGTGTTTATGGTTTGTGCTGCTGTATCAGTTAAGGTGTTATCTACTGAGAATGAGGAACACTAGGAAGAGGTCCAGGTATGGGAGGTAGGATGGGGGTCATGAATTGAGTTTAGGGCATGTTGAACTGGAAATACCTTTCAAATATCGAAATATAGCTGTCAGGTAAACAATTGGATACATGAGTTTATTGCTCAGAGGAGAGATCTGGGCTAGTGATAAATTTTGAATGTGATAGCGTATAATTGATAACTGAAACCTTGAGCTTGAATGAGTACCTCCTGGGAGAAGTCATAGAATAAAAGTGAGACCTGAGGAATACTAAAAAGAGATGGTCCTTTCTTGAGGAACATCAGGAAATGGGATTATCCCCAGTTATGTGACTTACCCATTCATCAATAAAGTCAAACTAAAACTGTATTAACATGGATTATTCAAGGTAGTATTGTTTCCATATAAGAAATAAATTTAATAAGGAGGAATATGTATTTTCATCAAAGAGGAAAAATATCCCAAAATAACTGATGATTTTCAAGTGAAATTTTTTTTGTGTGAGAAAAATAGTAATTTATGATTCTTGTTTTACAGCAAGTGAAGTCTTCTGTTGGGGACAGAATAAATATGGCCAGTTGGGTTTAGGCATTGACTGTAAAAAGCAAGCTTCACCACAACTGATTAAGTCTTTACTTGGAATCCCTTTCATGCAAGTTGCAGCAGGAGGAGCCCATAGTTTTGTACTCACCCTTTCTGGAGCTATCTTTGGATGGGGACGCAACAAATTTGGTCAACTAGGTCTTAATGATGAAAATGGTAGGTTTGCATTATTTTATAAATATATTTTTAAAAAGAGATGATGTTTTGAGATATATCAGTGATTCTTAGTGTCAGAGAGAAGTGTACCCAAATCTTCCCTGGTGTTGAGGTGGGGATGAGAGGTTAATTTTAAAATTCCATTTGATAATAATATTTTTAGGAGATTGCGGGAAGGCCAAAAATATTATTTTATTCTAGAATAAAATATAGAAAGTATATCTGGACAAAAATCTTCAATGTTGGATGTTCACTAAAAGAAAGTTGAGAAAAACATTACTTCAAATTGGTAATCATATTATCAGCCACCATCAGTGGAAAAAAATTATAAAATTATCCTGAAAAGTAACATGAAGTGTTCATCTATTTGAGTATTTCAAGGAAATATTTAAATCTGAGTCATTTAATTAATCACTGTTAACAGTGATGCTAGAGTCTTGAAAATAAACTTTTTGAATTTTAAAAAATTATAACTGCTTAAAACAAGTTGGGATCTTGGAAACTGATTTTTCATAGCTACATTAGGTTGAATGCCAGTATTTGAAATACAAAAACTAATTTAATAAAGTTCAACATAATTATAATGACTTAGACAAAAGTGAGTTGTTGATCTAGTAACAACTGGTAATGATAAATAATACTCTCAGAAAGAATTTTAAAATACTTTGTTTTGCATGAGAAAAATATGTCAGATTAGGACATTATATCTCTTTTCTACTATAAAATAGCAGAAAGTATAATTTTCAGGCTTTTTAAAGTAGGATCCTATGAGCTTAATTATCATGAGGTGAATATAAAGAATGATGTGCATGTACTAGAAGCAGTCAGATAGCTTTGAAATTCCTTGATTGCGGAGTCCTATGCAGATTGGCGTTTAGGCAGTTTAGTACTTAAGTTACTCTTTTTAGAGCTCTCCTTTATCACAGTAGCATGACTAGAAAGGCGTGGGAGCCCAACTTAGTAGGCTTGTACCACAAAATCATTGAATTGTTAAAGTTGTTTAGTTATCACCGTCTTCCACAGTTCAGGAAGCTGTAGAGGAAACACATTTTAGAAGCTTTTAATTTTAAAAATACTGTTCATTAATGTCTCTTGTTGGAATTTTCAGATAGGTATGTTCCTAATTTACTAAAGTCACTAAGAACTCAGAAAATAGTTTATATTTGTTGTGGAGAAGATCACACTGCTGCACTAACCAAGGTATTGTACTCCTATAAAACTTTTTTATTAATAGTTATGGTAGTTATTTCATAATTAGTGAATATTTTCATGGTATTTACTTTGAAACTTGAGTGTTATTGATGTCTAAAAAATAATTTATCTTAAAAAAGGAACTTAGGTTATTATCTGTTCTCAAAAACTTTACGTTAAATTTCAGCTGTTTCATGTTATGAAATGTGAATTGTGATCTACTGTTTGTGTGATGATAATATATATTGTTGAATTTTTCAACTTCATGTGAAATACTGCTTTAATAATACTGTGAATGAAATAATTCCTTTTTAGTTTGTCAGGCTTGCTGTGCTTTGTGTATCAATCCCATTTATATTGTATAACTCTGACTAATTTTAATGTAGCTCCCATGTGCCTTATAACAAGTAATAGAGACTGAATCCCTCTATTATCCAAAGGCCAGGTATTATTCAAGCAGTTATAATGGGCTTTCAGCACAATCTTGTTAATGGCTTTAACTCTGACCTCTCACTTTGTTGGGTATGTGCCAGTTCAGTATCAATACTGTATAGTTCTCTAGCAATTAGAAGTAAAGTGAAAATAAAAACATTAAACTAACCTTTACCAGCAGTATTATTTATTATAGTCATGTTAACATAAAGGAACTGGCAACTTATCATTGGCTAAATTAGAAATTAATGTTTTTGCTTCTTTATCTTTATATCCTGCATAGTAGATAAAATTGGCAAGAAAAAATTAACTTCTAATCAGATTTATAAAATTTCTACACACGTACTCCCACATTGGGAATTTTAGAAGAATTATTCTCAGTCCTTATCAAATATAGTGTACTAAAGGTACTTTAAAAAATATTATAATGACCAGTTACAAAAGTTAATTTTTTTAAATTCTGTATTACTTGCTTTTGAGTAAGGAAGATTTACTATCCCTACTGATCTTACTACCATATTTCATTGATTTTTTTTTTGTCATTCAAATTGCAGATGTAATCACTGTCGGCAAGTTATACATTTTAGTCATTCTCTTCTATCATTCGTATTTAGGAGAAATAAGGCTGTATTGAAGATAATAGTAAAAAATACTTTGTATAATATCTTTCCATAGGACTAACTTTGTGGTAGAAAGATTCACATGTTAATGCTTTTCAAATTCAGCCTTTCAGACAACCACTTATCTTATTTTCCCAAGATTTCTAAAGATTTCTCTTTATTGAGTTTTTAAAAAATGCTAATTCTATTAATTTTCTGTATTTCTCTCTCAAAACAGTAGCTGGTGATACTTGTTCACTGGAATTCTTGGTGTATATTATTTTTAACAAAATCAGATAGTTTTAAATATTGCAAAAGTAAAATATTTTATTGTTCCTTGTTTAAAGTTAGAATATAGTTCTATATCAATGTCTTTTGCTTTTCTGGAAGAGCTTCTTGCAAATAGATTAGTATTGCTTTACAAAGCAGTTTCCTTGTGCAAAACAAACATTAGGAAAACTTTTAAAACAGATTTTTAAAATCAGAATAAATGGAAAGACATGCATGTTAATGGATATGAGGACACTACCATAATGATGTCAATTTTTTTCAAGTTCTTTTACAAATTCTTTATGCAAATCACATATGCATATACCTTTTGACTTATCAATCCCTTAGTAATTTTAAGAATCTGTTCCAAAGATACTAAGTTATGTATACACAAGGCCGTTTATGGTGGCAGTATTTTAATAACAAAAGAAGAGAAGAAATCCAGATTCCCATCAGTAGCAGTCTAATTCAGTAAACCAAGGTAACTCCACTGCGTGGTACCATGCCCTGTAAAACAGAATGAGGAAGATCTCTATATTATGTTGTGGAACGATTGTCAGGATATATTATTGTTAAGGAAAAAGAAGAAGGTACATGTTATTTATATTTGAAAAGGATTAATAGGTAGACCAAATGAGCCTTGCCTTATAGGTTTGACTTTGGAACCTAGAAACTGTTACACATAATTAAAAAGCTTATATGTTAAAAGAATTCTTCAAAATTACAAGTGGCACAAATACAGAAAGAAGAATTTTAAAGTATAGTATTTTGTTGTGCATCACTGATGGGAAATAGCCTAAAGATAAACCAAATTCACAAAGAGGTCTTAAACTGCATTCTGTAGTCTTATTGTTAGTAGTAAAATTGGCAGCATTTATTTTCAGTATATTGTATGTAGAATAGGATAAAGCAATTAAGTATTTGTATTACTCTCATTAGAAACTATGATTTTCAGCTTAAGAGAAAAGAGATATAAAATGGTAGCAATCAAAACCCTGTAATCTTTGCTTTGAATCACAAGTATCAGTGTGAATTCTTATTTTTCTCCTTCTAAAATAAGTTTGTTTGGTTTGGTTTTTGTTTGGTTTTTTGGTGTGTGGTTTGTTGTTGTGTTTTTTTGGTTTGTTTTTTTTTTTTTTGCTATGACCACCAAAAGTTTCTAGAAATAACTAAACATTTGTAATCTGGAAGCAATGAACATCCTTTGATTGTTGTAGACTCTATACTAAAAAGAACCAGGGCTTCTTAGAGAAGAGCCTGATCTTATACCTGGGACCAAAAAAAAAGTATGAAAATAGCCTTGAGTATTTTGTGTCACAAAAACAAAGACTACTAAGATCATGTCACAAGGACAACTTGAAGGAGTTTTCAGTGGTTAACAAAAATAAATAATGTCTGCAATAAATGGAAAGATACCAAATATATAAAAATCTGTGACTTCATAATGATCGTCTTCTTACCCAAATCAACACAAAGCAAACTTCATTGCTTATCTTTGGAGGTTGCTAGGACAACAGCTTATTTTTCTAAAAATCTGTAAATGAGAAAGAAGCATTTCTTCTACCTCTTAATTGCAGATTGTATTTTATAATAGCTCAATAGTTGATGAGTTAACTTCTCTATAGAAGAATTTCGACTAATAAATTTAGAAGAAATAATAAGATTAGAAAAATCTCCATTTTGTATTCCCTAATGAAATAATGGATCTAGGCAAAGATCATCGTTAAGCTTAATGGGTATAGATTAGGCTGAAACACACTGTCCCACTTACTTATTTTTAACTTTACCTATCAGACATATGCTTTCTGACATGGTGTAATAAAATACTAATCAAGAAAGTTTAAATATGACCTCTATATTAAATAATATTAAAGAAATATTAAAGGGGTCCATTCCTCAAGAACATATAACAATTGTACCTATATATGTTCCCAGCACAGCAAATATTAATAAGTATTAACAGATCTGAAGGCAGAAATAGACAGCAACACAATAACAGTAGGGGACTTAAGTACCCCACTTTCAACAGAGACTGGATCATCCTGACAGAAAATCAGTAAGGAATATTTGACTTGAAGTACAGTTTATATCAAATGGACCTAACAAACATATACAGAACATTGTATCCAAGAATAGCAGGAGATACATTCTTCTCAAGCAAACAGTGGAACATTCTGCAGGAGAGATCATGCTAGGTCAAAAACACGTCTTAACAAATATAAGACGATTGAAATAATATCATGTATGTTTTCCAACCATAGTAGTATGAAACTAGGAATCATTAACAGGAGGAAAGCCAGAAAATTCACGAATATGTGGAAATTAAAAAGTACACTTCTGGGCTTCCCTGGTGGCGCAGTGGTTGAGAGTCCGCCTGCCGATGCAGGGGACATGGGTTCCTGCCCCGGTCCGGGAAGATCCCACATGCTGCGGAGCGGCTGGGCCTGTGAGCCATGGCTGCTGAGCCTGCGCGTCCAGAGCCTGTGCTCCACAACGGGAGAGGCCCACGTACCGCAAAAAAAAAAAAAAAGTACACTTGTGAATAATCATTGGGTCATAGAAGAAATAAAAGGGAAATTTTTAAATATCTTGAGAAATGAAAATGGGAACATGACAAAACTTATGGGAAGCAACAAAAGCAGCTCTAATAGGGAAGTTTATAGCAATAAACACCTACATTAAGAAAAAAGATTGCAAATAAACAGCTTAATTTTATACCTCAAGGAACTAGGAAAAACAACATACTAAGTCCAAAGTTAGCAGAAGGAAGGCAATTACAAAGATCAGAGCAGAAATAAATGAAATAGAGATTAGAAAAACATCAGAGAAGAATAACACACCTAAGAGCTGTTTTTCTGAAAAGATTTTTTTTTAATGGACAAATCTTTAGCTAGACTAAGAAGAAAAGACTCAAATAAAATCAGACTGGGAGGAGACATTACAACTGATAATGCAGAAATACAAAGGTTCATAAGAGACTACTATCAATAATTATATACCAACAAATTTATCACATAACCTAGATGAAATGGATACATTCCAGAAGCATACTAACTGCCAAAACTGAATCATAAAGAAACAAAATCTGAATATGCCTCTGATGAGTAAGGAGATAGAATCAGTAGTCAAAAGTCTCGCAACAAAGAAAAGCGCAGGACTGGATGTCTTCAAAAATCTCCCAACAAAGAGAAGCTCATTCACTGGATGGTGAATTCTACTATTTAAAAAATAATTAACACCAGTCAATCTCAAACTCCTCTGAAAAACAGAAGAGGAGGGAACACTTCCAAACTTACTTTATAAGGCCGGCACCATCTGATACCAAAGACATAATAGAAAGACACTGCAAGGAGAGTAAATTACAAGCCAACATCCTTGATGAATGTAGATGCAGAACTACTCAATACTAGCAAACTAAGTTCAACAGTACATTTAAATGATTATATAGCCAGTGATCAAGTGGGATTTATCCCTGGGATGCAAGGATGGTTCAGCATTTACAAATCAGTGTTATACACCACATTAACAGAATGAAGGATACAAATCGTATTATCATCTTAGTAGATACAAGAAAAGCATTTGACAAAATTGAGTATCTTTTTATGATAAAAACTGTCAAAGTGAATATGGAGGGAACATGCCTCAACATAATAAAGGCCATCTATGACAAACCCACCACTAACATAATACTTAATGGTGAAAATTTGAAAGCTTTTCCTTTAAGATCAGGAACAAGACAGGATGCCCACTCTCACCACTGCTATTCAAGATAATACTGGGAGTCCTAGCCACAGCAGTTAGTCAAGAGAAAGAAATTAAAGGCATCCAAATTAGAAAGGGAAAACTAAAATTGTCTCTTTGCAGATGTCTTGATATTTTATATAGAAAACCCTAAAGACTCCTCAAAAAATCTGTTAGAACCAATAAATACAGTGAAGTTGTAGGATACAAATTAACATATAAAAATCAGTTGCGGGGGTGCTTCCCTGGTGGCTCAGTGGTTGAGAATCCGCCTGCCAATGCAGGGGACACAGGTTCGAGCCCTGGTCTGGGAAGATGCCATGTGCTGCAGAGCAACTAAGCCTGTGCGCCACAACTACTGAGCCTGTGCGCTAGAGCCCATGAGCCACAACTACTGAGCCTACATACCGCAACTACTGAAGCCCACACACCTAGAGCCCATGCTCCGCAACAAGAGAAACCACTGCAGTGAGAAGCCCACGCACTGCAATGAAGAGTAGCCCCCACTTGCCTCAACTAGAGAAAGCCCGCACACAGCAACGAAGACCCAACACAGCCAAAAAAAAGAAAATCAGTTGCGGGACTTCCTTTGTGGTCCATTGGCTAAGACTCCATGCTCCCAATGCAGGTGGCCCGGGTTTGATCCCTGGTCAGGGAACTAGATCCCACATGCTGCAACTAAGAAGTTTGCATTCCACAACTAAAGATCCCACATGCTGCAACAAAGATCCCACAGATGACAATGAAGATCCTGCGTGCCACAACTAAGGCCTGACGCAAACAAATAAGCAAGTAAATATTTTTTAAAGGATCAGTTGTGTTTTTATACACTGAAAACAAACTATCTGAAAAAGAAATGAAGCAGTAGTCCCATTTACAATAGTATCAAAAACGTAATGCTGGGCTTCCCTGGTGGCGCAGTGGTTGAGAGTCTGCCTGCCAATGCAGGGGACACGGGTTCGTGCCCTGGTCTGGGAAGATCCCACATGCCGTGGAGCTGCTGGGCCCGTGAGCCATGGCCGCTGAACCTGCAGTCCGGAGCCTGTGCTCCGCAACGGGAGAGGCCACGACAGTGAGAGGCCCGCGTACCGCAAAAAAAAACCAAACAAACAATAAAAAACCCCGTAATGCTTAGTAATAAAGGTGAGCCAAGCAGATGAAAGACCTGTACACTGAAAACTATATGAGACATCAATGAAAGAAACTGAAGAAGGCAGAAATAATTGGAAAGATATCTCATGTTCTTGATTGGAAGAAGTAATATTGTTAAAATATCCATACTGCTCAAAGTGAGCTACAGATTCAATGCAATCCCTATCCAGATTCCAATGGCATTTTTCACAGAAATAGAACAATCTTAAAATTCATATAGAACCACAAAAGACGCAGAATAGCCAAAGCAGTCTTGAGAAAGAACAATGAAGTGAAGGCATAAGTTTCTGATTTTAAACTATATTACAAAGCTGTAGTAATCAAAGCAGTATGATACTGGCATAAAAGCAGACACATATACCAGCCAAACAGAATAGATCGCCCAGAAATAAATGCAATTAATCATTGATACGGTGCCAAGAGCTAGCAGTGGAAAAGGATAGCCTCTTCAATAAATGATGCTGGGAAATATGGATATCCATATGCAAAAAATGGACTTCTAATTCACACCACTCACAAAATGTAGCTCAAATGGAGTAAAGACTTAAATGTAAGGCCTGAAACTGTAAAAATTCTAGGAGAAAACTTGGGAAAGTTCCTTGACATTAGTCTTGGTAGGCATTTTTTGGATGTGACACCAAAAGCACACGGGTAACAAAAGCAAAAGTAAACTAAAAGCTTCTGCACAGCAAAGAAAACAGTCAACAAAATTAAAAGTCATCCTGTGGAATGAGAGAAAATATTTGTAAATCATATATCTGATTAGGGGTTAATACTTAAACTATATAAGGAACTCACGTAACTCATGGCTGAAAAACAATCTAATTTTAAAATGGGCAAAGGGCCAGAATAGACATTTTTCCAGAGTAGATATACAAATGACCAAAAGGTACATGAAAATGGTGCTCAATGTCAATATCACAATCATCAGGAAAATACAGATCAAGACCACAATGAGATATCACCTCACATCTGTTAGGATTGCTATAATTTTTTAAAAAAGGACAAGTATATGGAGGAAAGGGGAGCCCTGTATACTGCTGGTGGGAATATAAATTGGTGCGGCCATTAGGGAAAACAATATGAAGCTTCCTCAAAAACTTAAAAATAGAACTACTGTAGGACCCAGCAGTTCCACTTTTGGATGTATTTCTGAAGGAAATGAAAACAGGGTCTCAGAGAGGTAAATACATTCTCATGTTTTTTGAAGCATTATTCACAATAGCCAAGATACTTAAACAACCTAAGTGTCCCTTGCCAAATGAGTGGATAAAGGAAATGTGATGTGTACATGTTTGTGTGCATATGCGTGCGCACGTGCACACACACACACACACACACACACACACTGGAATATTATTCAGCCATAAAAAGGGGAAATCCTTTCATTTGTAACAACATATATGAACCTCAAGGGCATTATGGTAAGTGAAATAAGCCAGGCAAAGACAAACACTAAATGGTATCACTTATATGTGGCATTGTTAAAAAAAAAAAAAAAGTGGGGTGGGGATAGAAAGTCAAATTCATAGAAACAAAGAGTAGAATGGTGGTTGCCAGGGTGTAGGGGGTGAGGGAAATGGGGATATGTGGTCAAAGGGTACAAACTTTCTGTTACAAGATTATTAAATTCTGAGGATCTAATGTACAGCATGGTGACTGTAATTAACGATACAGTATTCTATGCTTGAAATCTGCTAAGAGCAGATCTGAAGCTTTCTCACACACACACAAGGATTATATGAGGTTTGGATGTGTTAATTAACTTGACTGGTAATAATTTCACAGAGTATATGTATGTCAAGTCATGTTGTGCCCTTTAAATATACACAATTTTATGTCAAGTCAATGATATCAATAAAACTGGAAAAAACATAAGAAGTAAAAATTAACACTTGCTATTTCTGTCCAAAAAAAGGAAATTAATACTTCTTGTTGATAATAGTATTGCGTCATATATTTTTATCCGTTAGAGGTATATGCCATTGAAGATACATATGCATTTATATGTGAAATGATTTGTTGACCACAGTGTACTTTAAAGTATTCCAGTACTTTTTTTACTTTAAAGTACCCGCATAAAAGGGAAGTGGGAGGGGCATCAATGAAACAGGATTATCTGAGTTTTGCCATTTGAAACTGAGTGATGTTATGTGATCATTCATATATAGATAAATATATATATGTATATATGTCTTTTGTGCATTTGTTTAAATTTCCCATGATAAAAAAATTTTAAACAGAAAAATCAATTTCCTTACATAGCAATCTGTATAAATACTAATATCCTGCTTTCATCATTTAGTAGCATAAATTTGTATACATAGCTGCAACTATGAAGAAAAGCAGTTGAATTGAAAAGTACTAACTGTGCTTGTTTTAAAATGTCATCATGAATTACTTTTTAAAAACATAACCTTTAATCCTGTTATGCATTTTTATGATAAATATTTTAAAGACCATTTATATTTTATGCTAAGACCATTTATGCTAAGAATAGCTATATTAGTACACTCTCTGGTTACATGTACTCTTTTTTTGCAGAGCTACTTTGGAAACTGAAAATGATACCATTTTTAGGTTTTGTGAAATTTTATAGGTGTATACTTGTGATTCAACAAGATTATAATGATAGTAAAAGGCAATGCAAAAAATACTCATTAGTATCTCTTTAATGATGACTTTATAATGATGAGAACATAGTTAAATACTTTTGAAGTATGTGAAAATAATAAGCCATATCAGCCTGGAACTCTTAGATTTAAGACATTTTACCTTGAAAAGTCAAGGTATCTTGACTATCTTATCATCTGTTAAATTGTGAAGACAATAGAAGAGAAAATTTGACTCCATATTAAAGATTAACTTATTTTGCTGAAGATTATTTTCTTTTATCAGGCTTTCTAATGACAAAGGGGTTTTTTTTGTTGTTGTTTTAGGAAGGTGGAGTGTTTACTTTCGGAGCTGGAGGGTATGGTCAGTTGGGTCATAACTCTACCAGTCATGAAATAAACCCAAGGAAAGTGTTTGAACTTATGGGAAGCATTGTCACTCAGATTGCTTGTGGAAGGTAAGCAGTTTTAGAAAAGAGTATTTTGATCTATAGCCCAATTATTTAGGATTTTTTTTTTTTAACAGTCCAGGGGTCTTTTTTTTTTTTTTAAATCTATTATGCCATGAATTAATAGGGAATGGCTTCTAGCAGCTTAGGCCCCTTTCCATTGGTTCTCACAAAGTGTGCTTCTCTGGTGGAACAGGCTGGCACTTCATTTGAACCTGAGTGCCTTTCTGTTTGGCTTCCTTTTTTTTTTCTTTCTTTCTTTTTTTTTTTTAAATTGGAGTATAATTGTTTTACCATGTTGTTAGTTTCTGCTGTACAACAAAGTGAATCAGCTATATGTATACATATATCCCTTCCCTCTTGGACCTCCCTCCCACCCCACCCCTCATCCCACCCATCTAGGTCATCACACACTGAGCTGAGCTCCCTGTGCTATACAGCAGGTTCCCACTAGCTATCTGTTTTGTACCTGGTAGTGTATATATGTGAATCCTAATCTCCTAATTCATTCCACACTCCCTTTCCCCCACTGTGTCCACCCTCCCATTCTCTACATCCTGTGTCTCTATTCCTACCCTGCAAATAGGATAATCTGTACCATTTTTCTAGATTCCACATATATGCGTTAACATATGAATTTGTTTTTCTGACTTCACTCTGTATGACAGACTTTAGGTCCATCCATGTCTCTACAAATGACCCAGTTTTGTTCCTTTTTATGGCTGAGTAATATTCCACTGTATATATGTACCACATCTTCTTTATCCATTTATCTGTCAGTGGACACTTAGGTTCCTTCCATGTCCTGGCTATTGTGAATAGTGCTGCAATGAACATTGGGATACATTTTTTTTTTTCCTGATCATTTTTCTTCATATGTTTCAGGAAGCTATCAGGGTGCTGAATATGCTTCATATGTACATTAATTCTCTTGGCAAGAAGAATCTTGCCCTTAACTTGTTTACAACAGTGCCAATAGCATGCAGGGTAACATTGTAGACTCTTCCAGTTTTACCTTGGTAACATTTGTGGGGCATTCCTTTTTGAACAGTGTCATTTCCTTGATGTTTACAGTATCACATAGTTTCTTGTAGATTTGCATGTGTTGTGGCCAGAGGAGGAACTTCATGTTTTCTGGAATGCCTTGATAAGATATAGTGGTGCCTCTCCTCTTTCCCTTTGTGTTAGTCATTTTTGCAAATTACTGTAATATAGTAGTTCCAACTGAAAGTGGAGATTTTTAAAATGAATTGTTCAGGAATCTAGTAATCTAAAACAAAAAACATTATCTTCTACCTGCCTGATTTGCTGCTAAGGAATCATAGTAAGAGGAGAAAGTTCTTTTATACTGATTATTTTACCTTTCTCTATTTGAAACAAATTTATCTGAGGCAAGATATTAATAAGGTAAATGTAATACTGTATATAACATTAAGTAAATATAATTTATTTTATGTATCATCACACTTGAAGGGAAACTATAGATCGTCTTTTTTTCTTTTCCACCTTTTTTTTCTTTAAAGAATGAAGAAATTGACCAATTAATTACTTAAGACATAAGATTAGTTAGTGGTGAAAGTTGAATTGGACTACTGATCTCCCGATTCCCAGTTGTTGGGAGTAGATAGGAATCAGAGCTTTGTAACTGAGCTTCACCTTTGATGGATTAAATTTTGGTGGATTCCCCAGAGGCAAAATATCCTTTGCTTGACTCACTCAGTTTTGACCACTTAGCTTAGTTTTCCAGCTAGTATGTATCTTTATACAATATAGTTAAGTTTTCCAGTATTAATTCAAGTACACAGAATTACACCGTAGGTAGCCTTTGGTGACTTTTTTTTTTTTTTTAACATCATGCTGTATGATTATCCATATGTGTATAGCTATGGTTCTCCATCGTTAGGTCTTATTGCTGTGTTTTACTCAATTATATGCATATATAATTATTTTCTCAGTCATGGGCACTTGGGTATTTCCAGTTTTTGGCAATTACAAATAATGTTGCTTTGAACATTTATTATGTAATATACATAAACTTTAATATTTCTAAAGTATATACCTAGAATGGAATTTCTGGGCCAGAGAGTATACTGAATTTGAGTTTTGCAGGTTAATGTCACCCTATTTACCAGAATGGTTATACCAGTTTACCTTCCCATCACTATTGTATGAGAATTCCTATGTCCTTTTCACCATTTGGTATTGTTAGACTTTTAAATTTTTGCTAATCTCTTGGATATATAGTGGTAGTTAATCATGATTTTAATTTGCATTTCCATGATTTGATAGGGATTGCATTGAGTTGGTAGATCACTTTCAGAAGTATTGATGTCTTAACAATTTTAAGTCTTTCAAGCCATGAATGTGGGATGTCTTTCCATTTATTTACTTTCTTTCAGTAATATTTTGCAGTTTTCATTGTATACCTTTTATCTATTTGCTTTCTCTATACCTCACACTTTTTTTTGTCCCTGATTTTCTACATTATTGCCTTCTTCTGTGTTTAGTTTATTTTTTGCAGTGAAATGTTTTAGTTTCCTCTCATTTCCTTTTCTGTATATTCTATAGCTATCTTTTTGTGGTTACCATGGGGATTACATTTAATATCCTAAAGTTATTAACTCTCTAACTCAAATTTATACTAGGTCAATTTCAATAATATACAAAACTTTGTTCCTATATAGTTCTGTCCCCACCCCATTTCAGTTATTGGTGTCACAAGATAACTTTAGTATACATTGTGTGTCAGAAAACATAAATTAATAATTTTATGCATTAGTCTCTTAAATTATGTAGAAAACAAAATTTGGAGGAAAAACACAAAATTACAATAATACTAGCTTTTATAATCACCCATATATTTACCTTTACTGAGATCTTTATTTTTTCATACAGCTTCAAGTTACTGTCTAGTGTTCTTTCATTTCAACCTGTAGGATTCCTTTTAGTATTTCTTAAAGGGCAGGTCTGGTGATAAACTCCCTGAGCTTTTATCTGTAAATGTCTTAATTTCTTTCTCACTTTTGAAGGACAGTTTTGTCAGGTATCAGATTCTTTGTTGACAGGTTTTTTCTTTCAGCAGTTTGAATGTATAAGCCCACTGCCTTCTGACCTGCAAAGTTTCTGCTGAGAAGTCTACTGATAATCCTATTGAGGATCCCTTGTATGTGACAAGTCACTTCTCTCTTGCTTCATTCAGGTTTCTTTGTCTTTCGACAGTGTGATTGTAATGTGTCTCAGTATGGGTCTCTTTCAGTTCATCCTACTTGGAGTTTCTTGATGTTTATGTCCAAGTTTGGGTATTTTTTGGTTATTATTTCTTCAGATGATCTTTTTACCTTCTGGAACTTCCCACAGTGCCTATGTTCGTCCACTTGATGATGTCCTTTAGGTCCCTTAGGTTCTCTTTACTTTTGTTTAGTCTTTTTTCTTTCTTTCCTGAGACTTAATAATTTCAATTGTTTTATGTTCAAGTTCCTGTATTCTTTTTTCTTTCTGCTCAAATCTGCCTTAGAATCCCTCCAGTGAGTTTTTTATTTTAGTTAATGTATTTTTCATCTCCAGAACTTCCTTTTGGTGTGTTTTTAGGTTTTCTATTTTTTTATTGATATTTCCATTTTCTTCATATATTGTTTTCTTGACTATTTCCATGTCTTCCTTTTGTTATTTGAGCATCTTTAAGAAAATTATTTTAGATTTTGTCTGTTAAGGTTCATCATCTGGTTGTTCTCAGGGAACAACCCTGTTTTATTTTTTTAAAGTAGACTTTATTTTTTACAGCATTTTTAGGTTCACCAGAAAATTAAATGGTATATTTGTTTCAGTTGATGAACCTGCTGTTGACAAAAATAATCAATAAACAATCTGTAATAGGAAAAGAAAGGAGTTTTATTTGAGCCAAACTGAGGACAATAGCCTGGAAGACAGCTTCTCATGTAACTCTGAGGAACTACTCCTCCAGAGAAGCATGGTTTTCAGCACAGTTTTATATCTTGTCAGAAGAAAGAACATCAAACAAGTCAGGGATACATTCCTTCAGGGTTTCCCAAAAAACAGATCAGCATGTACACAGCAAGTCCATATGGCCTTGGTACCTGGGAAGAGAGTCTTACCATCTAAGGAGTACCAGCATTGGCATCCCAGGAAGGGAGGGATTTAATCTTTATTTTTAACATGGATATTCTTTACTTCTGGTCATTGTGCCCTTCTCTTTAATAATTACAGCAGATATACTGTAATTTGATAGGCCACAAACAGCCTGTTTTAGTTAGGATTAAAATCACATTAACTTATGTATAAGCCAGTTGACTTCCCCATACCTCAATATGTGAAAATTTCTTTCATCGCTACATTGACAGGTCATTTCATCACTACATTGACAGGTCATTACAGGTGTACATAGTGTATGTTAGGGTTCATTCTGTGGGTTTGGACAAATGTATAATGATGTGCATCCACCATTATAGTATCATACAGGGTAATTTCAATGCCCTAAAAATCCTGTATGCTCCCCTTATTTATCCCCCCCACTTCCCTAACTCCTGGCAGTCGCTGATTTTTACTCTCATAGTTTTGCCTTTTCCGGAATGAAATATAGTTGGAGTCACATAGTATGTAGCCTTCTCAGGTTGTCTTCTTTCACTTAGTAATATGCATTTATGGTTCCTCCATGTTTTTTCATGGCTTGATTGCTGATTTCTTTTTAATGCTAACTAATATTCCAGTGTCTAGATGTACCAGTTTGTTTATCCATTCACCTACTGAAGGACATCTTGGTTGCTTTCAAGGTTTGGCAGTTATGAATAAAGCTATTACAAATATCTGTGTCAGGTTTTTGTGTAGACACAGGTTTTTAACTCCTTTGGATGAATAATGAAGAGCACAATTGCCGAATCATATTGTAACAGTATGTTTAGTTTTGTAAAAAACCATAAAACTGCCTTCCAAAGGAGCTATATCATTTTTTCCTTTGAATGCGCCTTACTTTCCAATTTCTTTGTATTCTCTGT